GATTTTTCGAGCACGTAGGCATTCTTTACAAGCGGTCGTATGCTGGACCGTATTTACGTTGTGTGACTATGGAAGAAGGTCAATATGTGCTGAGAGAAGTGCACGAAGGGTGCAGCAGTGATCATAGCAAGTCGGGGGCCTTGGTTGCAAAAATTTTGAGGGCGAGATACTTCTAGCCAACGATGAAGGAGGATGTGAAGGTGATGGTGAAAAAATGCTTACAATGTCAAAAGCACGGCCCACTTATCCATCAACCGGCAGAGGCGATGACAACGATGAGTGTCTCTATACCATTCGCCCAGTGCGGTATCGTCCTGGTGGGGCCAATGCCGCAGCGAACTGGGCAGAAGAAGTTCTTGATCGTGGCAGTGGATTATTTCACAAAGTGGGTGGAGGCCGAACCTTTGACGAAGATCACGGAGGAGAAAGTAATCAAATTTTTATACAACAATATTTGCTGCAGGTTTGGCGTTCCCAAAGTGTTGATTTTCGACAATGGCAAGCGGATTCGAGCATGGTGTGAAGACATGAAAATCGAGCAACACTTTGCCTCCGTTGCTCATCTGCAAGCTAATGGCCAGGTCGAGGTAACCAATCGAATTATACTAATTGGGTTGAAAACAAGGCTGGAAAAGGCCATGGGGGCATGGGTTGATGAGTTAACCTCAGTACTTTGGGCGTATCGTACAACCTCGAAGTCGATAACAGGAGAAACTCCCTTCAGTTTAGTCTATGGGATGGAGGCATTGCTGCCAGTCGAGGTCGAACTATCATCACAGAGCTCAAGCACATATGACCCTGAGCAAAATGAGGATTTAATGATGGTGGCTCTAGACACTGTCGAGGCGCTGCGCGAAAGAGCAGCGATTAGAGTGGAGGCATACAAGCAAAGGATGCGAGCTGCTCATGACAAAAAGGTGAAAGTTTGCAGACTCCAAGTAGGCGACCTGGTTTGGAAACGTGTCGATGTGCTCAAACATGTGGGGAAGCTAGAACCAAACTGGGAGGGACCATACCTAGTCGAGCGAGTGCACGCAGGAGGAGCGTACGCGCTGAAGGACGCATAAAGCCGATCGCTTGCCAGGTCATGGAACATAGCTAATTTGAAAAAATATTATGTGTAAAATTTTTGCTTTTTTTCAAAAGAAATCCTAGAAGTCAGTCAGAACAAAGTTGTAACTTGCAAAATTTGCTCAAAAAGTTAATGAAATTAAGTTATCCTATCGTATTACTTGCTTTATGGCATATTTTCTTATGCTTGGAATGTTGGTATGGTTTGGATGATAGGATGTATATGGTGTGGTCTAACTTGGAAGTCGCTTGTCTAGAACATCCCTTGGGGTGGGCAGATGGGTTGATTACTCACGCCCTCGGGCTGCGTGGCCTCCTGTTTGGAACATTCCTTGCGAGTGGGCAAGTGTGAAAGCCAAAAACCACCATGACTAAGGTCCTCAGGCTGGATGGTCGCTTGTTTAGAACATCCCTTGGGGTGGGCAGGTTGGTTGATTACTCACGCCCTCGGGTTGGGTGGCCTCTTGTTTGGAACATTCCTCTTGGGTGGGAAAGTGTGAAGACAAATCCTACACAACCTAGGAACGGGAGTCGAGAGGAGCGCATGAAAGCGAGAATACGGAAGAGGATCATCGAGGAAGACAAGAACATTGAAACAAGCGGAGTGTCAAACCCAGAGGACAAGTGCAAGGGCAAAGGTGCAAGAAGAAACCACGTGGAGCGGAAAACCCATCATGTTTAAGGCTGCGAGGCTGGATAGTCGCATGCTTCGACCACCTATGAAGGTGGGGCATGTGTTAAAAGATTTTAAAACCCATCATGTTTAAGGCCACGAGGCTGGATGGTTGCGTGCTTTGACCACCTCTAAAGGTGGGGCATGTGTTAAAAGATTTTGAAACCAATCATGTTTAAAGCCGCGAGGCTGGATGGTTGCGTGCTTCGACCATCTCTGAAGGTGGGGCATGTGTGAAAAATTTTTAAAACCCATCATGTTTAAGGCCGCGAGGCTAGATGGTCGCGTGCTTCGACCACCTCTGAAGGTGGGGCATGTGTTAAAAGATTTGAAAACCCATCACGTTTAAGGCCGCGAGGATGGATGGTCGCGTGCTTCGACCACCTCTGAAGGTGGGGCATGAGTTAAAAGATTTTAAAACTCATCATGTTCAAGGCCGCGAGACTGGATGGTCGCGTGCTTCAACCGCCTATGAAGGTGGGGCATGTGATAAAAGATTTTAAAACCCATCATGTTTAAGGCCGCGAGGTTGGAGGGTCGCGTTCTTCGACCACCTCTGAAG